GAACGTCTACAAATACGCCTGGTTCTTCTTTGAACTTCTTGTAAGTTGGTGGTGATTGAATATGTACATGTTCCTGAGCAAACCAGCTTTGGCTGTCCTTGAAGCTTCACATATAAGATGCTCTGTAGATGTTGTGTATGAGCTTTTTTCCCCCCTAATTCTCATTGTCTGTACGCACACACTCCAGGTGAAGAGCATGAGTCAGCATGTGTCTCAGCTGGATAAGAAGGCAGTCCCTCGAAGGAATAGATTTTCGGATCGTTTCAAAGATGACATCACCACTATTGTCAACGTGGTGACTGCTGAGATCGGAAACATTTTAGTAAAACAACAAAAGGTGATTGAATCCATCTGAACAGATCATAATCTAATCCAAGAACTGTTTGGTAACTCAGTAAACATGGAGCACATGAGACAAACTGGAGGTTAGGTCTTCTGGAGGAATGTTATTTGTCAGTGCTAATGAGAAGAGATGTGTGTGTTTATTTGTCTTCAGGAACTGGAGCAGGCAGAGAAGGTTAACATCAGCCTGGCTTTCTTCCTGTATGACCTGATGTCTCTGATGGACCGAGGCTTTGTGTTCCAGCTGGTGAAGAATTACTGCAACCAGGTCCTGCAGCTCATCTCATTTACTAATGATTGTCTTAATAGAAAGACATCATTCACAAATAATCGGTTCAGTGAACATCACAAGCTTTTCCAGCGTGAACCTTTTTAGGCATGACTTTTGAAGTAAAGCATAGTGATATTTCAGCGTGAATACAGAAAAATGATTTATATGAAACAAATATATGAATGAACAAAACAATATAATATTTTATTAATGAAATGTTTAGAAAATCTGATGGGTATTTGCGCAAACAAAAATTGTTTAACAAATATTCCATAAACTGGTGTCAAAAAATCCAACAATAATGTCACCATTCAATTTTTTAACATTATTATGTAGCTTTTTTTGTTTTAAATGTACATATAAATATATTTTGTTGCTCTGCTAGACAAATATTAGGTGAAAGGGGTGAATGTTATCACGTTCCTAGAACACTCATTCATATTTTTAGGATCAATATATAACTAATTGACTAGTATATTAAATTAAAAATGTCTTTATTTATACAT